AATAAGGTGGCTTCTGCCCTGGGGTTGCACACGATGTGATAGATTCTTTAATAGAAATGCAAAAAGGCTCTAAAGATAGGTAAAGAGGTGACTCATTTCTCCTGGGGTATTCAGGAAAAATAACCAAAAAGGGGAACTTTGAACCGGGCTCGCTGATGATCCTTGAAGAGAACAAAATGAGAGGAAAAAAAAAATGGAGACAAGGAACCAAGGCTTCCTTCATTGGGGGTGGATTGAATTGTGGGCCCCCCACCAGCCTTGCTAAAAAATGCTAAAGTCCCAACGTGCAGGACCTGAGATTGTGAACTTATTTGGAAATAAGGTCATGCAGATGCAGTTAGCAAGATGAGGCCATAATGGAGTCTGTGGACTGCTGTGTCTATAAGAAAAGGAGAAGAAACACAGATGCACGTGGGAAGAATTCCACGTGACAATGGAGGGTGAACTGCGGTGCTACAGCTGCAAGCTAAGAATGCTAGGGCCATCAGGACCCACCAGAAACTGGGAGGTGGCAGGGAAGGGATCGGAAGGTCTCGGAAGGAACAGGGCCCTGACATCTTGATTGCACACTTCTGGCCTCCCGATCTATGAGAAAAAGACATTTCTGTTGTTTTAAGCCACTTAGTTTATGGTCGTTTGTTATGGCAGCCTAAGAGACTAACAGGCCTATAGGAGTTAAATGAGGAACTGTCTTCATCTGGGACAAACAGTGGTGTGACCGTAGTCAGCGAGGTGTCAGGAAAGGAGAGTCAGCGTGGAGAAGACGTCAGGGCACCTGTGAAGTCTCTGCCTGGCTTCGCGTGCAAAGCGTGACTGTGGGAGCTCTAAAACAGAGGAGAGTGACAGAAGGTTTGATGATCGAGAATTACGCCAAGAATAGTTGTAAATTCTGCAGTAGGAGGCAAAGTAACATTAACGCCGGACCAGAGCTACCAGCAACAGCACACTGTTCAAATGTTGGCTCTGGGTACGGTCAGGCACAAGAAGGCGTATTCGCCATTACCCAGATTTTAAACAGGGAGGAGCACTGAAGAAGGAAGAAGAGGAGGACAAACAACAACCACAAATGGAAATAAAAATATAATTTGACTTCTTTTTTGTGTGTGTGTATTTTTCATTTTTATTGGTACCAGGGATCGAACTCATGACCGCCTGCTTGCAAGGCAGGCGCGTATGCCACTGAGCTAAATCCCCAGCTCCCTAATTTGACTTCTAATAATGCCCCCAACCAAAGAATGTAATAAAGAGTGTACAGAGTCTATACAACGGAAACTGTAAAGCACAGGGATGAAAGGCAATTTTAACGACTAAAATAAACTGCATACCATGTTCATGGATGAGAAGAGTTAAGTTGCTAAGATGTTGATTCTTCCCAACTAGATCAACAGATTCAACATGATCCCAACCAAAATTGCAGCAGTGTTTTTTGTAAATATGGACGAACTGATTCTGAGATTTATGTGGAAATACAAACACCTAAATTAGACAAAGCAGTTTTTAAAGAAAGACAGAGTGAAAGAACTTACCTAGCAGCAAGCATTGCTCAAAAATATAAACCAAACACAGGATCAAAAACAAGTGGTTGAAAAGATAGATCAATGGAACATAATCGACTGATTTATTTTTGGCAGAAGAATCTAAGAAATCCAATGAGGAAAGAAAAGGTTTGCAATGAAAGGTGATCAGACAGCTGAATGTCTATGTGGAAAAAAATCAGAACTTATAATACACCATACACAAAAATTAGCTGGAAGCAGATTATAGACTTAAACATGAAAGCTAAAACTATAAAACTGCTGGAGTTTGAAGACAGCTTGGGCTACAGAGTGAGTTTAAGACCAGCCTGAACTGCATAGGGAGTCCCTGGTCTTATAAGGACCAAACAAAAACAAAACAAAACAAAAAACTGTGGAAGAAAACAGGAGAAATTTTCTGATCTTAGAGTAGGCAAAAGTTTCTAAGGTAAGGTTTAAAAACATATCTATAAACCAAAAAAATAGAGGACTGACACTTCATCATAGTTTAAACCTTGGCTTCATCAAGTACACACTGAATAAAATGAAAATTCACACCACAGACTCAGAGCAAATACTTAGACTCTAAAAAGAGCTCTTACAACTCAATCATAAGACAACCTAATTTTTAATGAATAGATGTAAAAAGACATTATACAATAAGATATATGAATGTTCAATAAGCACATGAAAAGATACTAAAATATAATCATTGTGTTAGTTTCCTATTACTGAAGCAAAGTATCTGAGATAATTAGCTTAAAAAGAAGAAAGGTTTATTTTGGCTCACGGTTTCAGAGGCATCATTGTAAGGTCTATTGGCCCCATTACTTTTGGGCCTGGAGTGAGGCAGCACACCTTTATGGGAGCATGTAATGCAGGAGGCTGCTCATATTATGGTGGCCAGGAAGGAAAAAAAGATAAGGAAGAGACAGGGTCCCACAATCTTATTTGATGGTTCATTTCTGAGACCTCCCACCAGGCTCCACCTCTTAAAGGTCCCAACACCTTCTAAAAGCTTCATGGGCAGGGGACCAAACCTGCAAGATATGGGGCTTCAGTGGACATTCCAGATCCAAAGTACAGCAGCCACCAAATAAATGCAAAAAACCATAGCGAAATACCAGCACACATCATCAGAACAGCTCACATTAAAAGGCTAAGAACCCCACAGAATGGAGGCAGTTAGAACTCCTATACCCTGTGGGTGAGGATGTAAAACTCAATCCGCTTTGCAGAAAGGGCTTGCCATCTCTTAGACAAGCAATATGCACCTACTCTGCAGCCTAACTAGTCTTAGATATTTGCCTAAAAGAAATGAAAAAATATGTCCACACAGAGATTTTTACACAAGTATGCATGACAAATTGAGTCATAATATCCACAATCTTCAAAACAACCCAAATGTCCACCCGCAGGCGAATGGATACACAAACCACACAACACTACTCCAAAATAAAAGAGAATAAACGAGTGGTTTATGTGACAGTGCAATTGAGTCTCAAAATCAAAAAGGCAAATCCAGCATGCATTCAATATGATTTCACTATGCGAAATTATGAACTATGCAGGACTAGAGTGACAGACACAGATCAGTGGTTGCCCAAGGACAGAAGTGAGAGGGAGACTGGCTTCAAAAGGACTAGAAGAATTTTGGAGGGAGATAAAAATATTTGTACCCGATGGAGACCGTGGTTACGAGTGTACACATTTGTCAAAACACCGAGCCATGCGTTTAAGACGGGTGCAGTTCACTGCATGCAAATCACACCTTAGTCAACTTGATTGAAATAAGGCAGGGATCTCCTTATTATTTCGAGCCAGCGGAGTCTGGGCTGGGCCGCGGCGGATTCTCTCCGTGGCAGCAGCCCAGATCCCGCAGGCGCTCTGCTGACGCGCCCCTGGCGATCAGGATTCTGAGTTTCCCTCTGCTGACTTAGGGACGTGTTTCTCCCGCGCTCTGTGAATGATGATGGAAAGAGGCTTCTCATCTCCTGTGCTCTGCGGCAGGAAACTCTGATTGGGATTCACAGTGTTACTCTCTGTCAGCCTCTCTTTCAAAATGCAGAAAGACTAGAAAAAACACCTCGTTTATCTGAAAGAGGGAGGTTGGTGGGGATCAGGACCAGCAGGAATAGAGAGCCACTGAACACAGCTTCTGGCCGAAAGAGTTGGGCGCTGGGCTCCGCCCTGCCCACCTCCAGCCTTGGAGCCCTGGAGGGCCACCTGCACCTGGTGTGAGTGATCGGGTCGTCCCATGCCATCCCCGACACCGCACCAAGCTTCCATCATGGTTCACAGGGCCAAGGGGGACCTCGCCTGTGTGAGCCCTGGTTCCATGTCTCACACCAGAAAAGAGAAGAAAACAAACCCAGGGCACTTGCTCCTGGCCAGAGATGCTCATCCAGCAGGCTGAGGTGGCCCAGAATCTGCACTGGCAATGTGTGCCTGTCACGGCACCGGTACAGGCGACCTATGAATCCCACTTGGAAATTCTGTCCTCTAAGTCCAGCCTCCACAGCCTTTCCTCTCTCCTGGTGCCACCTGCTCTCCTTAGCTCACGATCCCCTACCAGGTGCCAGGTGCCTTCCCAACTGCCAGGGTCCGCAGGGGCCTGCTACAGGCTTTGACCGCCAGCCCCACCCCATCAGCTCCTCCGGTGGTCATCACATGATTCACACAGTTCTCACGGCCTCAGCATCCAGAAAGTGCTGTGAGACAAGCTACCCATATGTGTTTTTGAGACGGAAAATTCTGGAGCTCCTGGCATTCCTTCCTGTTTCAATGTTCTGATGGCCTGCATCTCTCTACCCGTACCAGTTCCCGCCCTAACCCCACCCGGCCCCGTTCTGTGAGTGACTGTGTGTGAGGTGCCTGGAGAGGGGAGAGTGTTGGAGCTGTTCCCACTCTGCTGGACCATCCCACGGCTGGATTGGGAAGGAGAAACATGCGCGTGAGAGGAGCGGGAGACAAAACCTCACAGCTCAAATCCTTTCATAGTCGGCATTAATCCACCCATGAGGGTGGAGCCCAATGACCTAAACCCCTCTCATTAGGCCCCACCCCTAACTCTGTTGCCATGGAGACCAAGTTTCCAACACAGGCTTCTGGGGGACACATCCAAACCCTCTGGGTACACAGTCTGAGCCTGAGACCTGAGAGGCCTCCGCCGTGGCAGCGAGCAGGAGGTGAGAAATGCCAGTGGATGAGTGGGCCCCGGGGCAGAGGTGACCAGGGCCCTGCTTGAGAGGTGCCTTGCTAGGGGACAATGCCACAGCTTCCCTGTGTGCCATGGGGATGGCGATCCCCAAGGACAGCAGCAAGGGGCTCTGCCAGACCTTTCAAGTCCTAGGCCACTGCCGCAGCTCAGCTCTGAGTCAGGGGCGCTGGTGCCTATGAGACCCCCCAGTGTCCTTGTTCACCCCAGCTACAGAATCCCAGGGTCCCTCTGCCACCTTCTTCCAAACACTCAGCAACCAGACTCACCTGATTGTGAAATCAGTGTCTCCTTATTTGTCTTTCAGGGAAATAAAAACCCAGAAGAAGATGCTGCAATGAACTCCTTCCCCTCAAGGGTAGGGAGGTGTTTGTCCATCTTAAGGCTTCCTCTTCGGGGTCATCAAAAGTCTTGTCCTCTTACCCCGGCTCCAAACAGATACTCTGGGGCCTCTAGACGCCTACCAGAAGGTCACAGGTCCCTTACAATTGTATGTGATAATTTCTGTGTACATTTAAGGTTTTTCATCCTACTTCAAAAGACAGAAAATCAGTGGTATAAAAGAAACAGCATCTTTGCAACCAAAATGCTCCAGGTTGACATCTGTTAAGCAGAGGCCTCCAGGTGGACCACAGGAGTCATAAGAGAATCTTTGGGAGGCCCAGCCCCGTCCCTCTGGAGAACCCAGGCTGGTGCTCTGGCAAGACACCAACTCATTCCCATCATACTCTCATTGTACTTGAGCACCCCTGCTCAAGACCCATGCAAAGATTCCCATTCTACAGATGGGGATGTGGAGGCAGAGGCAAGTTGTGGGATATGCCTGAGGTCACAAGTAACCAAAAGAGGTCGAACTTTGGAAGTAGAAGGGAGAGGAAGCGGAGAGGAAGAAAAGAAAGAGGAGCAGGAGGAGGAGGAGAACAAAACGCCTCTTTGTTCTTCTGGAGCTCAGGCTCCCCGCTCACTCGGGCCAGCCATGTGCTGAGTCCTGGAATGTTTCTCGGGGTCACAGGCGCGTCTTTCTCCTTCTGCCACCGTGTCCTCGGCTCCCCCACCTGCTTGCTGGTGTTGAGCAGCTCCTGCTGCTGGGAGTGGGGAGCAGAGCCAGGCTGGCTGAGACCAGGGCTCCATCTGCCCGCGTCCTGGGACCGTCTGCAGGTAACTCGGCCCCGCCACCCTCTGCCAGGAGGAGGCTGAGAAGCCTTGGGCGGCACCAGCCGGCTCCCAGCCTCTCTCCACACAAGAAGCTGGTACCGGTGCCAGCCCCTGGTGCCACTCAGCCAGATGGCAGGGGAAGCAAAACAAAAGTGACCTTGTTAGCGGAATGTGTCTTCCCCGGGAGAAGCTATTTTTGTTGTGGTTGTGAACTGAAGTCGTCTCGGCTGAATTCGCCTTCCCAGTGAGGACTGTGGAATGTTAATTTGTTCCAAAGTTCAGTATTTTGATTAGAACCAGGAGTGCCAGAGTTTGTCAGAAACATTTTGGAATAGAGCAGGCCTGTTCTCTCTTCCTTTTTTCTTTTTCTATTTCTTTTTTTTTTCTCCCTCTCTTTCTGTCTTGGCCCCCGTACAAAGTAAATGTTGTTGGAGCAGCCGCTCCTGGGAACAGCCCGTCACAGATGGGAGCTGCGGGCAGAGCTGGCTCCTCCCTGCAGCCACAACCTTCTTGCCACAGAGACACCCAGCCCGGGGACAGATGTGGGACAACACTTTGGGGCCACGTCCTGGGTTTGCTTGGAAAGAGCCCAGAACCTGGCAGAGAGCCGAGGACTCAGCCAGCCCCCCCCCACCCAATATACGTGTGCGCTGACTCAAAGATCAGGCTTCCGGAGGACAAAGCTGCAGTTCCTGCCACCAGGAGGTCACCTTCAAGGGCACTGCCTGAGCGCCCTCCGTCTCTCCATCTTTGGTTCTCTTTCCCCAATCTGCTCCCCATCTGTTTTGGGGGTAGGGACAGGGGTGGAACCCAGGGCCTCGCACATGCCATGCCCCCTTCCTCCTCCTAAATGAGTGAGGAACCCGAGGAACCCAGGACTCTGTCCTGCATGGCAACACAAGCACAGGGCAGAGGAAAGTCTTCTGGCCCCTTCCACCCCAGTCCTAACCCTGGGGGGTCTCTAAGTAACGAGGTCCCGGCTCCCTGGGGTGACCCTACCAAACCTGGTACCTGCCAGCTCTCTGGCGGGAAAGACGGTTTGTATTTTGTGCTGTAGTGAAGGATACAAGTGTGGACTTCAGATTCAGGTTGCCTGGGCTCTAATCCTGGCCCCGTGACAGTGGTAGTGGCAGCAGTGTAGACAAGTGAGCCCGGTAGAGGGCCCATTCAGTGGTGTGTGGCCACAAGCCACAGAAGTGGCCACACACAGGTCAGTGTGGGGCAGGACACAGTCACTGACCCGGGTTGGGCTCTGGGATCGGGTTGGCTGTTGTCATGACTGCTGTTACCCGAAGCTTTTTCCCAGGCTCTGTGCTAGGCTGGGAGAGACCCCAGGGTGGTGAGTCTGGCTTCTGTTCCCACTGCTGCAAGGCCAGGTGGTTTCTCACCAGCGTCTTGCACGTCTGGCCAAGAGAAAGTCACAGCGTTCCCAGGATGAGGACATTGAGTCCCTCTGTGAGGCCACAGAGCCAGGCTGGGCATCTGCAGGGCCAGCCCAAGAGCAGCTTCCTGGTGGGAAGAGCTGGGTGAATGAAGCAGGATTCTGAGGGACAGCAGAGTCCACCAGGATGGAGCAGACAAGGTGGGAGCCTTCTGACCTCTGTCACCTCCCAGTCACCCTCCCCTCCTCACCCCTCCACCCCGACTCTGGTGGCAGCCCGGAAATCACGCCTTGACTGAGAATACGGAATGGGATTCCTGGAGCTCCCTTTCTGGGGCTGATGGCAAGGGTCCCCCCCTTGGCTTCCGAAGGGTGCCAGCAGGAGAAAGCAGATGCCCCGGGCTGCCCCCACACTTGCAGCCCCTGTGGACGATGGGGAGCTCACTGAGGAGCCAGTGGGCTGGGCCTCAGATCCCCATGGGGAGGGCAAGACACTGCATGGGCCAGGCAGGCTGCGCTTGTACCCGAGGCTCCAGAGCTGCAGAGGAGCCTGGCCGGCCGCCCCTGCTCTCCCTGGCCGGGATACGAGGCCTCTGCTGGAGGCTGCCATCCACTGCTGCAAGCATCTGCGCCAACCAGCTGTCTGTCCTTCCTCCACTCCTCCTCCAGCTGCGCCTCCTGCCTCTTCCCAGCAGGGCTGTCCAAACGGGTGTGCAGATAGATGATTGGCAGACTCCAGGCCCGACAGACACCTACAGTCATCCTTGCCAGGTCCCAAGCAGGTCACCGGGGTGCCAGGCATCAAGAAGACCCAAGAGGAGCAAAGTCCTGTTTTAAAGATGGGCACCTCTGAGGGACGCGACTCCGCCCTGCGCAGGGACGGTGCTGACACCTGACTTCTGCCCTTCCTGGGCTCTGGTTCCCAGCAGAAAGAGAAGGGCCTAACTCACCTGGGTTTCGTCAGCGTCCACCTGGCTGGCAGCTCCGGCCAGACAGAGCGGGCGGGGTATAAAGACCTAAGAAGCTGCTGTTCCAGGGTGAGTGGGGGCTTAAAGCCGGACTGCGCTGTCTCACTGTGAGTTAAAAATCAGAAACAAGGCTTCATTGTCAGAGGAAAGAAAATGTGTACTTACGAGATAAAAGGGTTGTACTTACTTTTTAAACTGTATACAAATTATGCCCAGAACACACTGTCTGCATAACGTGAGCATCTCTAAGGCAAGCCCCTGCCTACACAGAAAGCTCTCTTTCACCAAACAATCTAGGTGTGAGCAGGAGGGAAACCAAAGAGCCTCACAGACTGAAATGAGGACCCAGAGGACCAGGCACACAGTTCAGAGGCACAGCGCCTGTGCTCAGAGCAAGCGTGAGGTCCTGAGTTCAATCCCTGATAACAAAAACAAAAAAAGATAAAACAAGGACTCAGAGAGTTGACTCACTTCTCCCCGTATACATATACACTGGGACCCGCAGTTTATCCGACTGCTTCTTTATATCCAGATGAAGAAGGCAAGGTCCTTTATGGTCAGAGACTATGTGCCCAGATCGGTGTTTGTTGAATGAATGCAGGAGTGAATGAATGAATGAACATGTGTTAATCCAACTATGGACGTTGAACTGTGAGGACATGCGCGGACATGTTCACATGTACATCCGGGTCATTTTACTACATGCACGTCTGTGCATGTCAGCATCACTAATGCATGCTTCTTCGCTTGACCATTTGTTTTTTAAATTTTTAAAGTACATGTTGGCATGACTGCACTCCTTGTGGGGAGCTGTCACATGCACAGCATGCATCTTAAGTCCTCTTTACCCCCCACCCGATCTCCTGGTCCCTTTGCTTTTTGCAAAAGATCTGTCTCCTTATTCCCTATCATCTCTATCTCACTTTGTTTATTTACACTTCAGGTCTCTTGTATAAGAGAAACCACACAATATTTAAGCTTGTGTGTCTGGTTTATTTCACTTAACATTGTGGAGTCGAGGGCATCCATTTTTCTATCAATGAGTCACTTTACCCTCCTGCGTGGCACAGGAGTGCTCCACGGTGCAGGGTTCCACGTTCCCCTTAACCCTTCATCTGTCGATGGGCCGTTTCCAAGATTTAGCTCTCATGAACTGTGCTGCTATAAACATGGCCTGCCTTTAACTCTACAGGACGAATATTTAGAACATATAAAGAACAAAAGAATGTAAACCCTCCTCCCAGAAAAAATAAAAGACCCGGTCAAAAAATGCACAACTAAAATGAACACAATTCTCAGAAAGAAAAGTAAAAATGGTCAGTGAGCACAAGAAAAAATGTCCAACATCTCCAGCCATTAGAGAAATGCAAATTAAGACATTACTGAGATTCCATTTTGTTCTAGAAAGAATGGCACTCATTAAAAAAATCAAATAATAACAAATGCTAGAGAAGCTGTAGGGGAAAAGGAACCCTCCAACCTTGTTGGTGAAAGTATAAACCAGTAATTATGGAAATCAGAATGGAGATGCTTCGAAAACCTAAAACTAGAAATTCCATCTGACCCGCTCCTCCCTTCCAGGTGTCCTGACCCTTCATTCTCAGAGATGCCCTAACTATGCCTTCCACAGCTTCCAGCTGATATACTTCTAGTGAAACACTCGGCATTGTGTTATTTTATTTTATAGATAAGGATTCAAAATATACATTGTAAACTCTCCAATCCTAGATGACTTTCATGTGTCAGTGCCCTAAGAAACAAAGTGTCCATGGTTAGATGAGTTTGGGAAATTTGGAATTAAATGGAGCTAAACAGTCTCTAAATGTGAGCTATCTCAGATACTTTAAATGCCAGGATGCGTGGTGACTAAATACGGACAGATACACAGTCTTTGTCATATTCCTTTGGCCCTGGGGTCCCTACATTGGGGAAGATTTTGCAGTAAATGCAGATAAAGTATAGCCTAGGAGAATTTTGTGGGTGAGAAGAATTCATCCTGGCTGGGGCTAGAGCTGGAGGCAGCCGGAGGCAGCCAGAGCTCAGTCAGTCAACGTGTAATTGTGAAGAGCCAGGCCTTGTGAGTGATCCAGGAGATACGAACATGCCAAGGAGAGAGCTTGCAACCTATCTCACCGTCTGGAAGAACCAGACAAGGAGCCAGGTGACACAGTGGGGAAGAGATTCAAAAAAGAATTCACCCTGAATTTGTCCATTTAGCCAGTACGAGCCCTGTGCATCTTTCTGTCACTGCGAAGAAATACCTGACACCTGCAGATTAGAGGAGGAGACGTTTATTTTTGGTTTATGGTTTCAACAGGTTCAGTCCATGGTCGGCTGCATCTAAGGCAGAAACGGCATCGTAGAAGGCTGTCACAGAGGAAATCTGTTCAAACCATGGCAGCCGGGAAGCAGAGGGACGGAGAAGAGCGGAGGTCAGAATAAACCCGCCAGGTCACACTCCAGTGACCAGCTCTCTCCTGTCTCCTCACAGCACATTCAACTATGAACTCCTCAGTGGCTTGGACACCAAAGACCTAAACCAAAATGTGCCCCTGCCAGGCTCTTATGCCAGGCACCACAGTGTGTGTGTGTGTGTGTGTGTGTGTGTGTGTGTGTGTGTATGTGTGTGTGTAGTAGCAGTAATTTACTAGTCAATCCAATAATGAGTCTCTTCTCCACAAAGCAGATCAATTTTGGCAGAAGCAAAACACCCCAGGAAGGAAGGGTCGAAGAAAAGGGCCACTCAGGCTCACAGGACACAGGGAACAGCAGGGACCAGCCAGCCCCTTCTGCCCTACTCGCCACAGGTGTGCTGTCTTTAGGGGCACGGGCGATCCCAGGGTGACAGATTGAAATGCCACCCTTTATCTCTCCCAGGGTAACTGGAATAATTCCAGGCCAGGTGAGAAAGGAAATTGAGCCAAACAAGGGCAAGGGTGGGGACAGAAAAAGTAAACAGGACAACAAATTCTAAGATATAGCGGCAGCCACCGAGCCCTGCTGAGCCCACAGGGAGAGTTCAGCATGGGACGTCATGTAGACGTTGAGAAGACTCATGGGACTTCTGCACCTTTGTAGAAGTTCAGGAGGATGTACGGCTTCTGGGATTTGCTTTGGGGGCTGTGGCACCCTAAACCATTTATTTTTTGAGACAGGATCTCACTGTGTAGCTCATGGTGGCCTTAAACTCACTCTATGGCTCAGGTTGGTCTCAAACTCATAGCGATCCTCCTACCTCAGCCTCCCAAGTGATGGGATTACAGCTGAGCATCATCACGCTTAGCATCATAGCACCCTAATATGCCCTGATTCACCCTCAAATTA